CATACAGAGTCCTTTATAGTAACAACATTACATAGTCTTTATAGTAACAAACTTACAGAGTCTTTATAGTAACAACATTACAGAGTCTTTATAGTAACAACTTACAGAGTCTTTATAGTACAACATTACAGAGTCCTTTATAGTAACAACATTACAGAGTCTTTATAGTAACACAATTACAGAGTCTTTATAGTAAACAACATTACAAGTCTTTATAGTAACAACATTACAGAGTCTTTATAGTAACAACATTACAGAGTCTTTATAGTAACAAATTACAGAGGTCTTTATAGTAAACAACATTACAGAGTCTTTATAGTAACAACTTACAGAGTCTTTATAGTAAACAACATTACAGAGTCTTATAGTAACAACATTACAGAGTCTTTAAGTAACAACATTACAGAGTCTTTATAGTAACAAACATTACAGAGTCTTTATAGTAACACATTACAGAGTCTTTATAGTAACAACATTACAGAGTCTTTATAGTAACAACATTACAGAGTCTTTATAGTAACAACATTACAGAGTCTTTATAGTAACACCATTACAGAGCCTTTATAGTAACAACATTACATAGTCTTTATAGTAACAACATTACAGAGTCTTTATAGTAAACAACCTTACAGAGTCTTTATAGTAACAACATTACAGAGTCTTTATAGTAACAACATTACAGAGCCTTTATAGTAACAACATTACAGAGTCTTTATAGTAACAACATTACAGAGTCTTTATAGTAACAACATTACAGAGCCTTTATAGTAACAACATTACAGAGTCTTTATAGTAACAACATTACAGAGTCTTTATAGTAACAACATTACAGAGTCTTTATAGTAACAAACATTACAGAGTCTTTATAGTAACAACATTACATAGTCTTTATAGTAACAACATTACAGAGTCTTTATAGTAACAACATTACAGAGTCTTAATAGTAACAAAATTACAGAGTCTTTATAGTAACAACATTACAGAGCCTTTATAGTAACAACATTACATAGTCTTTATAGTAACAACATTACAGAGTCTTTATAGTAACAACATTACAGAGTCTTTATAGTAACAACATTTCAGAGTCTTTATAGTAACAAATACGAGTCTTTAAGTAACAACATTACAGAGTCTTTATAGTAACAACATTACATAGTCTTTATAGTAAAAACATTACAGAGTCTTTATAGTAACAACATTACAGAGTCTTTATAGTAACAACATTACAGAGTCTTTATAGTAACAACATTACAGAGCCTTTAGTAACAACATTACAGAGTCTTTATAGTAACAACATTACAGAGTCTTTATAGTAACAACATTACAGAGTCTTTATAGTAACAACATTACAGAGTCTTTATAGTAACAACATTACAGAGTCTTTATAGTAGCAACATTACAGAGCCTTTATAGTAACAACATTACAGAGTCTTTATAGTAACAACATTACAGAGCCTTTATAGTAACAACATTACAGAGTCTTTATAGTAACAACATTACAGAGTCTTTATAGTAACAACATTACAGAGTCTTTATAGTAACAACATTACAAGCCTTTATGTAACAACATTACAGAGTCTTTATAGTAACAACATTACAGGTCTTTATAGTACAACATTACAGAGTCTTTATAGTAACAACATTACAGAGCCTTTATAGTAACAACATTACAGAGTCTTTATAGTAACAACATTACAGAGTCTTTATAGTAACAACATTACAGAGCCTTTATAGTAACAACATTACAGAGTCTTTATAGTAACAACATTACATAGTCTTTATAGTAACAACATTACAGAGTCTTTATAGTAACAACATTACAGTCTTTATAGTAACAACATTACAGAGTCTTTATACTAACAACATTACAGAGCCTTTATAGTAACAACATTACATAGTCTTTATAGTAACAACATTACAGAGTCTTTATAGTAACAACATTACAGAGTCTTTATAGTAACAACATTACAGAGTCTTTATAGTAACAACATTACATAGTCTTTATAGTAACAACATTACAGAGTCTTTATAGTAACAACATTACAGAGTCTTTATAGTAACAACAGTTACCAGAGTCTTTATAGTAACAACATTACAGAGCTTTATAGTAACAACATTACAGAGTCTTTATAGTAACAACATTACAGAGTCTTTATAGTAACAACATTACAGTCTTTATAGTAACATATTACATAGTCTTTATAGTAACAACATTACAGAGTCTTTATAGTAACAACATTACAGAGCCTTTTTAGTAACAACATTACAGAGCCTTTATAGTAACAACATTACAGAGTCTTTATAGTAACAACATTACAGAGCCTTTATAGTAACAACATTACAGAGTCTTTATAGTAACACCATTACAGAGTCTTTATAGTAACAACATTACAGAGTCTTTATAGTAACAACATTACAGAGCTTTATAGTAACAACATTACAGAGTCTTTATAGTAACAAAATACAGAATCTTTATAGTAACAACACTACAGTCTTATCGTAACAACACTTACAGAGTCTTTATATGTAACAACATACAGAGTCTTTATAGTAACAAACATTACAGAGTTTTATAGTAAACAACATTACATAGTCTTTATAGTAACAAATTACAGTCTTTATAGTAACAACATTACAGAGTCTTATAGTAACAACATTACAGAGTCTTTTATAGTAACACCTTACAGAGTCTTTATAGTAACAAACATTACAGAGTCTTTATAGTAACAACATTACAGAGTCTGTTATAGTAAAACATTACAGAGCCTTTATGTAACAACATTACAGAGCCTTTATAGTAACAACATTACAGAGTCTTTATAGTACAACATACATAGTCTTTATAGTAACAACATACAGAGCCTTTATAGTAACAACATTACAGAGCCTTTATAGTAACAACATTACAGAGTCTTTATAGTAACAACATTACAGAGTCCTTTATAGTAACAACATTACAGAGTCTTTATAGTAACAACATACAGGTCTTTATAGTAAAACATTACAGACCTTTATAGTAACAACATTACCAGTCTTTATATAACAACATACAGAGCCTTATGTAACAACATTACAGAGTCTTTTAGTAACAACATTACGAGTCTTTATAGTAACAACATTACAGAGCCTTTATAGTAACAACATTACAGAGTCTTTATAGTAACAACATTACTAGTCTTTATAGAAAATTAAGTCTTATAGTAACAACATTACTAGCTTATAGTAACAACATACAGTTTATAGTAACAACATTACGAGTCTTTATAAACAATTACAGAGTCTTTATAGTAACAACATTAAGAGTCTTTATAAAACATTACAGTCTTATAGTCAACATTCAGAGTCTTAAGTAACAACATTACAGAGCCTTTATAGTAACACATTACAAGTCTTATAGTAACAACATTACAGACCTTTAGTAACAATTACAGGCCTTTTAGAACAACATTACAGAGCCTTTAGTACAACATTACTAGTCTTTATAGTAACAACATTACATAGTCTTTATAGTAACAACATTACAGAGTCTTTATAGTAACAACATTACATAGTCTGTTATAGTAACAACATTACAGTCTTTATAGTAACAACATTACAGAAGTCTTTATAGTAACAACATTACAGAGTCTTTATAGTAACAACATTACATAGTCTTTATAGTAACAACATTACAGTCTTTATAGTAACAACATTACAGAGTCTTTATAGTAACAACATTACATAGTCTTTATAGTAACAACATTACAGAGTCTTTATAGTAACAACATTACAGAGCCTTTATAGTAACAACATTACAGAGCCTTTTAGTAAACAAACATTACAGAGTCGTTTATAGTAACAACATTACAGAGTCTTTATAGTAACAACATTACAGAGCCTTTATAGTAACAACATTACAGAGTCTTTATAGTAACAACATTACATAGTCTTTATAGTAACAACATTACAGAGCCTTTATAGTAACAACATTACAGAGCCTTTATAGTAACAACATTACAGAGCCTTTATAGTAACAACATTACAGAGCCTTTATAGTAACAACTTACATAGTCTTTATAGTACACAACAGTACAGAGTCTTTATGTAACAACATTACAGAGTCTTTATAGTAACAACATTACGAGTCTTTATAGTAACCATTACAGAGTCTTTATAGTAACACAACATTACCGAGTTCTTTATAGTAAAACATTACAGCAGTCTTTATAGTAACAACATTACAGAGTCTTATAGTAACAACATTAAAGCCTTTATAGTACACCTTACGAGCCTTTATAGTAACAACCATTATCGAGCTCTTTCATTACTAACAACATTACAGCCTTATAGATTAACAACATTGACAGAGCTTTTATATTAACAACAGTCCGAGTCTTTTAGGTAAGTAACAACATTACAGCCAGCCAGCTGCTGCATTCATAACATTAGAACAGACATCACCTGGAGGAAATAGGAACCAGTGAAATATAGTTTAAATATAACATGTTTGGAATTACGTTGTCTGAAATGTACTGAGTGATTGACTTCTGTATTGATAGATTGTTAGTTAGTTGAATGATATGACTTGAGTGATGTGATGTAGTCTTTTATGAGATTGTTAGGTGCTGCAAGGTGTGTGCGTGTGTGTGTGTGTGTGTGTGTGTGTGTGTCACTGTGTGTGGGGTGTGTGGTGTGACTGTAGCCAGCTGTTCAGATGAAACCTCTGCTCACCTCTCTGCTCTCTCCATCTGCAGTCTAAAAATAGAGTGCATTCTCCTGGCAGGCAGACATGGATATTCTAGTACATCAGGAAAGTACTAACCTGGTCCCAGATCTGTTTGTGCTGTCTTGCCAACTCCTCACGCTGGGTGACAATGACCATAGGAGTTGGCAAGACAGCACAAACAGATTCAGGGACCAGGGTATGAAAGTACAAATACAAGTAAATACTATCCAGAGTAGAAGCAGTGCCACTGCAGTAGTTGTTGTGAGTTACTATGTGCCCATGGTCTGTCCATTGCATGGTTGGCAGGAGGCCAAGTGCACTGTCAGCATGTTCTAGTGGTCTATTGATTTATAAAGTGGCTTCTGTCTGTCTCTTTCTCTTTCTCCCCAACATTTATCTAATCTCTCTTCTTCACCCTTTCACTTTATCTTGCCAACCCCCCCCCCTCTCTCCTACTCTCTCGCTCGCTCTCCTCTCTCTACTCTCTCTCTCTCTCTCCTCTCTCTCTCGTCTCTCTCTCTCTACTCTCCTACTCTCTCTCTCTCTACTTCTCTCTCAGTCATCTCTTCTCTCCTACTCTCTCTCTCTCCTCTCTCCCTCTCTCTCTCCCTCCCTTCTCTCTCTTCATTACTCTCTCTTTCTCTCACTCTCTCCCCCCCTCTCTCTCTCTCAGCCCCCTCTCTCTCTCCCCCTCTCTCATTCTCAGGTCCAGACCTCTACACCTCTCCTTGCTCTGCAGGTACCTGGGAACCCAGATAGAACTCCAGTTCTGTAGGCCCATGGCCCTCCATTCTCTCCCCCAGTGAGAGGTGATCCACGCTGGCCTCCCCAGCCCCCGCCCTGCCCCCGGACCCAGAGCCAGAGCCAGAGCCCGGCCCGGGCAGCCTAGAGGAGGAGCAGTATGTGAGCCTGCCTGAACCACCCACCCCACCACCACCATGCAGGGACGCTGAGACCCTCACTGGTAGGTGTGTGTGCGTGTGTGTGTTTGTGTGCATCTACTAACAGAAATGAGAAAATAGTTATAGGATGTGATGTGTCTCCTGTTTCTGGCTGTGGGCCTCAGTATCCTGTTGGATGGCAGTGATTCTTTTCTCATTCATAAATAAGTGTACAGATTTGACTCCCCCCTCTCTGTAGATGTGTGTAACACTGCTGACCTGCCGGAGGTTGAGATCATCAGTCTGTTGGAGGAGCAGCTGCCGGTGTACCGGTTACGTGCCGACACCGTCTTCGGTTATGACCATGACGACTGGCTACACACACCGCTACTGTCACCAGAGGCACGCATCGACCTGACCACAGAACAGATCGAGGAGACGCTCAAATACTTCTGTAAGTGTTTGTGTGTGAGGGCGGTTATGTGTGTGAGGGCGGTTTTGTGTGTGTGTGTGTAGTGTAAGTCGTTTTTGCTGTTCTAGTGCTTGGGGAGATGGCAGACAGTTTCCACACAGTTTCTAGATCTCTCTTGCATAACCCCTGCAATTATATTAGATCTCTGTGTGTATAATGTATAGTGTATAGTGTATAGTGTATAGTGTATAGTGTATAATGTATAATGTTAGTGTATAGTGTATAGTGTATAATGTATAATGTATAATGTATAGTGTATAGTGTATAATGTATAGGGTATAATGGATAGTGTATAATGTATAGTGTATAATGGATAGTGTATAGTGTATAATGTATAGTGTATAATGTATAGTGTATAATGGATAGTGTATAGTGTATAATGTATAGTGTATAATGTATAGTGTGTAGTGTGTAGTGTGTAATGTACACTGAGTATACCAAACATTAGGAGCACCTTCCTAATATTGAGTTGCAAAAGCATTCCACGGGGATGCTGGCCCATGTTGACTCCACTGCTTCCCACAGTTGTGTCAAGTTGGCTGGATGTCCTTTGGGTGGTGGACCATTCTTGATACACACAGGAAACTGTTGAGTGTGAAAAACCCAGCAGCGTTGCAGTTCTTGACACAAACCGGTGCTCCTGGCACCTACTACCATACCCTGTTCAAAGGCACTTAAATATTTTGTCTTGCCCATTCACCCTCTCAATTGTCTCACGGCTTCTTTATCCTTCTTTAACCTGTCTCCTCCCCTTCATCTACACTGATTGAAGTGGATTTAACAAGTGACATCAATAAGGGATCATAGCTTTCACTTGGATTCATGGAAAGAGCAGGTGTTCTTAATATTTTGTATACTCAATGTATAGTATATAGCAGGGATGGGCAACTGGCGGGCCCTTTTATAGGCCGGCGGACCAATTAAATGTTTTTTAATAATAATAATATATATATACAGTGGGGAAAAAAAGTATTTAGTCAGCCACCAATTGTGCAGGTTCTCCCACTTAAAAAGATGAGAGAGGCCTGTAATTTTCATCATAGGTACACGTCAACTATGACAGACAAAATGAGATTTTTTTTCTCCAGAAAATCACATTGTAGGATTTGTAATGAATTTATTTGCAAATTATGGTGGAAAATAAGTATTTGGTCAATAACAAAAGTTTCTCAATACTTTGTTATATACCCTTTGTTGGCAATGACACAGGTCAAACGTTTTCTGTAAGTCTTCACAAGGTTTTCACACACTGTTGCTGGTATTTTGGCCCATTCCTCCATGCAGATCTCCTCTAGAGCAGTGATGTTTTGGGGCTGTCACTGGGCAACACAGACTTTCAACTCCCTCCAAAGATATTCTATGGGGTTGAGATCTGGAGACTGGCTAGGCCACTCCAGGACCTTGAAATGCTTCTTACGAAGCCACTCCTTCGTTGCCCGGGCGGTGTGTTTGGGATCATTGTCATGCTGAAAGACCCAGCCACGTTTCATCTTCAATGCCCTTGCTGATGGAAGGAGGTTTTCACTCAAAATCTCACGATACATGGCCCCATTCATTCTTTACTTTACACGGATCAGTCGTCCTGGTCCCTTTGCAGAAAAACAGCCCCAAAGCATGATGTTTCCACCCCCATGCTTCACAGTAGGTATGGTGTTCTTTGGATGCAACTCAGCATTCTTTGTCCTCCAAACACGACGAGTTTTTTACCAAAACGTTCTATTTTGGTTTCATCTGACCATATGACATTCTCCCAATCCTCTTCTGGATCATCCAAATGCACTCTAGCAAACTTCAGACGGGCCTGGACATGTACTGGCTTAAGCAGGGGGACACGTCTTGCACTGCAGGATTTGAGTCCCTGGCGGCGTAGTGTGTTACTGATGGTAGGCTTTGTTACTTTGGTCCCAGCTCTCTGCAGGTCATTCATTAGGTCCCCCCGTGTGGTTCTGGGATTTTTACTCACCGTTCTTGTGATCATTTTGACCCCACGGGGTGAGATCTTGCGTGGAGCCCCAGATCGAGGGAGATTATCAGTGGTCTTGTATATCTTCCATTTCCTAATAATTGCTCCCACAGTTGATTTCTTCAAACCAAGCTGCTTACCTATTGCAGATTCAGTCTTCCCAGCCTGGTGCAGGTCTACCATTTTGTTTCTGGTGTCCTTTGACAGCTGTTTGGTCTTGGCCATAGTGGAGTTTGGAGTGTGACTGTTTGAGGTTGTGGACAGGTGTCTTTTATACTGATAACAAGTTCAAACAGGTGCCATTAATACAGGTAACGAGTGGAGGACAGAGGAGCCTCTTAAAGAAGAAGTTACAGGTCTGTGAGAGCCAGAAATCTTGCTTGTTTGTAGGTGACCAAATACTTATTTTCCACCATAATTTGCAAATAAATTCATTAAAAATCCTACAATGTGATTTTCTGGATTTTTTTTTCTCAATTTGTCTGTCATAGTTGACGTGTACCTATGATGAAAATTACAGGCCTCTCTCATCTTTTTAAGTGGGAGAACATGCACAATTGGTGGCTGACTAAATACTTGTTTTCCCCACTGTATATACAGTACCAGTCAAAAGTTTGGACACACCTACTCATTCAAGGGTTTTTCTTTATTTTTACTATTTTCTACATTGTAGAATAATAGTGAAGACATCAAAACTATGAAATAACACATGGAATCATGTAGTATCCAAAAAATATATTTTATATTTGAGATTCTTCAAAGTAGCCACCCTTTGCCTTGATGACAGCTTTGCACACTCTTGGCATTCTCTCAACCAGCTTCACCTGGAATGCTTTTCCAACAGTCTTGAAGGAGTTCCCACATATGCTGAGCACTTGTTGGCTGCTTTTTCTTCACTCTGCGATCCAACTCATCCCAAACCATCTCAGTTGGGTTGAGGTCGGGTGATTGTGGAGGCCAGGTCATCTGATGCAGCACTCCATCACTCTCCTTTTTGGTCAAATAGCCCTTACACAGCCTGGAGGTGTGTTTTGGGTCATTGTCCTGTTGAAAAACAAATGATTGTCCCACTAAGTGCAAACCAGATGGGATGGCGTATCGCTGCAGAATGCTGTGGTAGCCATGCTGGTTAAGTGTGCCTTGAATTCTAAATAAATCACAGACAGTGTGACCAGCAAAGCACCCCCACACCATCACACCTCCTCCTCCATGCTTCACGGTGGGAACCACACATGCAGAGATCATCCGTTCACCTACTCTGTGTCTCAGAAAGACACGGTGGTTGGAACCAAAAATCATCAGACCAAAGGACAGATTTCCACCGGTCAAAATAGTAAAAATAAAGAAAAACCCTTGAATGAATAGCTGTGTCCAAACTTTTGTCTGGTACTGTGTGTATATATATATAATTTTTTTTCTAACTCAGTCGGGGTCTCAACCTACTGTTGAGAGTTAGAATAATAGAATACACAAGGTGCAATTTTTGAATTTTAGTTGTGCATCAGCAGTCACTCAATTAGCCTATGTGGGTAGGACTCTCTGGGACAGTCCTTGATTGGTTCAGATCTTATCTAGATGGCCGGAGTTACTTTGTCACCATTGGTAATCATGAATCTGATAGGGTGGCTATGACATGCAGAGTTCCATAGGGATCAGTTCTCGGACCGATTCTGTTCAATCTCAATATGCTACCTCTGGGCTAAATTTTACAGAACAACAACATTAACTACCACAGCTATGCTGATGATACTCAAATATATATGGCTCTCGAACCGTATGACAACAGCTCAATAGACTCTCTGTGTCACTGTATAGAGCACATAAATACCTGGATGAACCAAAATGGTCTACAATTAAACCAATATAAAACTGAGATTATTGTGTTTGGCAACAAAAATAAAAGTATTAGTAAAGAGCTGGATTCTCGGGTCCTTAAAACCAGCGATCAAGTGCGTAATCTTGGTGTTCTGATAGACTCAGACCTCACATTTAACAGTCATATCAAAGCGGTCACCAAAACAGCATTCTATCATCTAAAAAATATAGCTAGAATCAAAGGCTTGGTGTCCCAAAAAGATCAAGAGAAGCTCATCCATGCTTTTATTTCTAGTAGGGTTGACTACTGTAATGGCCTCTTAACAGGACTCCTGAAAAATCATGTAAAACAGCTGCAGCTCATTCAGAATGCAGCTGCTAGAATGTTAACCAGGACCAAGAGAACGGAGCACATCACTCCGGTTCTTAAATCTTAACATTGGCTTCCAGTCAGTTACAGAATTGATTTCAAAGTGGTGCTTTTAGTTAATAAATCTTTGAATGGTTTAGGACCCGAGTACATGTCTGATATGTTTGAAGATTATAAACCGAGCAGGGCTCTTAGATCCATGAACACAGGTCAGCTAGTAGAAGCCCAGAGCCCAAACTAAACATGGAGAAGCTGCGTTTAGCACTTATGCTGTACACAACTGGAATAAACTACCAGAAGATCTTAGATGTGCCCCAAACGTATCCATTTTTAAATCCAGGTTAAAAACACTTATCTTTTCACGTGCCTACGACTATGCACTTAAACTTAACCACACTGTTTAGCCTTATAGCTTCCTATGTTTTTATCCCATTTTTAATTTTTAATTTTTAATCTTTATATGTTGTTTTTTTGTATTTTTATTATTATGATGTTTTCATTATTTTTGATAAACATCTTTGTAAAGCACATTGAATTGCTTCGATGTATGAATTGTGCTATATAAATAAACTTGCTTGCTTGCTATGTCAGCTAACATTATTTAGATTGGCAAGTTAGTCTAGCGGCCAGCTATCTAAACTTGTAGTAAGCATGGTCGAATTACCGACTGGTGTGGGGCCCATTGATCATCAGTTATCATATAAAAATGCAAACATTTGCATGAATTGCATGAAATTAGTTATAAAATTGCAAAATCTGTCTGCCCCATAGCAAAATGTGTAGAATTGCAGGAAATTAACTTTAAAATGTAATCTTTTCAGACCCACGAGCCACTGCGACCCCTCATGATGAGTTCCGTTTTTTTGTTGCCCCACCCCCATCAAAGTTACCCATCCCTGGTGTATAGTGTATTCCTGAAGAGAGATCAAATGGGTCTACACCATCAGGGGGAAGTCCAATCAATCGTTCCCAGCCTTGTTTTGGTCGTGTGGGATGAGATGTGTGTGTGTGTTCAGAGTGTGGATGGAAGCTTAACCATGATTATATAGGTGGATGGATGCTCTGTGTCCTTGGACAGAGAGGGAATACGTGTGTTTGTGTTTACTGTATTGAGATGGCCTGTGGGCATGACTGTGGGTGTGACTGGGAAGGGAGGAGGGTCTGTCCCTGAGTTTGCAATCTCTGATTGGTTCCCTCTGTCTTCCTCCCCTCCTATCAGGATGCTATCTCAGCTACAGCTCTCACTCAGCAGTAGACTGGAGTGTGTGTGTGACTTTCTTACCTAAATACTGTCACTGTGGAAACGAGTAGAGGGAGGGAACGAGAGGAGAGAGGGATGAGGAGGATGGAGAGAATAACAGGGGATGGATGTGAGCTGGAGGACTGGTGCTATGAGGAGGGAACTGAGGGTAACACTGCTGTTTGTGTTTGTGTGTGTGTGTGTGTGTGTGTGTGTGTGTGTGTCTGAGTGTGTCTGTGGTTTTATTTGTATTTCAGAGAGAGATAAAGAGGGAGAGAGTTGTGTTAGGTGTAAATCTGTTTTTCAGTATGTTGTGGAGAGATTGTAAGACTCCATCATTAAGTGATTTGGTCCTGTATTGTGTAGAGAGAAGGGTGCTTCAGGCTCATATTTGACATTTGTCTGTCATTTGTTTTAGTGTAGCTTGTTTTCCACTCATAGTTGACTCTCATGCTGTGGCTCCAGAGAAGTAAAGGCTAGTAAGTGTATAATTAAGCAATAAGGTCCAAGGGGGCTAAGGCTAAGGCCTATTCTTACGCACGACACAACGCGGAGTGTCTGGATACAGCCCTTAGCCGTGGTATATTGGCCATATACCACAAACCCCCGAGGTGCCTTATTGCTATTATAAACTGGTTACCAACATAATGAGAACAGTAAAAATAAATGTTTTGTCATACCCGTGGTATACGGTCTGATATACCACGGCTGTCAGCCAATCAGCATTCAGGGCTCGAACCACCCAGTTTATAATAATGTTTAATAATGTGTTATAATAGGTTTAAAGAGCAACTGATGGAGCTGTGTGATGTTGAGCTGGTTCAGTGTGATATGTCTGCCCTCAGGCTCACAAACACGCTTCCCAGGGTCTCGATTCATGTTTGTTTTTGTTTTGGTATTGGTTTATTGACAGAACATCAGGTTTTAGGAAGTGTCTGTCTATTGGGTGTTGTGGAAGCTAAATAAGTATTGTATTTTATGGATGCTCTAGCTCTCTTTAACTGTAATTTAGTTGGAAGTTTATTGAAAGCTGGTTGATTAAGAAGAGGCTATGTTATGTTTTAGTGGTTTTCTAGGTCATTACTAATTAAACTGTGCAGTATTGATTATTAGAGTTCTGATCAATATCAGCTTCTTGCCTATTGAGCGCATCAGCTGTGTGCGACATGGAAAAAAGTCCCCTTATCTGAACCCTCAGTGTGTTCCAGGTAAATCAGTCCCCGGTAGTGATGCACGGGTTGACTCATAACCCGCAGTCCCCGCGGTTATATCTGCGGGACGGGCAGGTTTAGGGTCATGAAATATTGTGTGGCTGAAGAGCAGGTGGGTGGCGGACGGTTGATAAAGAGAAAACAATGCCTTAAATCCATAAATGTATCATTCTTGTGCAATAGTATATCTATAGGCTACACATTGAGTTTTTTCCCCCCATTATTTTAGTGCATTAGTGCATAAGCCTAAGCTTACATGTGCCAAATAGCCTACATGGCAATCAGCAAAATGCTTTTGGGAATGGGCAGAAAAAGTTAACGTCGATCCATGGAGGCAAAAAGGACAATGTGTCTGTGGTGTTAAGTTTAATTCAATAAGAGAAAAGCTGCAAAATGGAGAGTTGAAAATAAAGAGAAGGGAGGGACAGAAAAGTCATGTTTGGGAAAGATTTGGTGAAGTTGTAAAAGAGGATGATAGCAGTGCCGGCTATGTTATGTGTGATGATTGTGAGGCGCTATACAAATTTGACAGTCACAAGACATGGACTTCAAATAGACCTATGGCACATCAAGGGAACTGTAGCCTACTGTTCAGATGGGTTAAATGGTAACTGAAATCTGGACACTGGCTGTAGGTCTATAACCTCTCACATAGCCTAAATATTAACTCCTGCAGAATTAAGCATTTCTTTCAGTAAAATGATACACCAAATATATGCAACATTTAGACTAGGGAACATGAGTGGAGAAATATGATTTATTTCAGCATCTTGAGAGAATGCGAAAGCAATTAGATACCATCTGTAGACGTGCTATCTTTATCAGCATCATAAAAGCTGATAGTATTTTTCAACCACATAAAATATGCATCCAAGCCAAAGTGAAATCTTATCAGAAGCATGTTGGGTCGTTTTCACAGCTTTCTATTTCATTACAACCGGTCAAACTGATGTCATTTCGAAATTTTGCACATTGTTTTTTTAGAGTTATTGCATTTTTCTCCCAGGTCCCTAAAGGTCTTTGTCCGCGAAAGAAGCAGAGATGACAGAGAACACTTTACCGATGGCAACTAGATTAAAGCATTCATTCTATTGATTTATGACATTGTTCTGGTGAGCAAGGGTTTATTTGGTCTCCTAGGGCAACATATAAGGACAAATGAGAATCTGCATGTATCTAATTAATGACTATCAAATAGCCTACCAAAATGTTGGAAATTATAAGCGGAAACATACATGTACAGTGCCTTCAGAAAGTATTCATAACCCTTGACCTTTTCCAAATGTTGTTGTGTTACAGCCTGAATTCAAAATGGATTACATTATAGTTTTTTTCTCACCCATCTACACACAATACCCCATAATGACAAAGTGAAAACATGTTTTTAGAAATGTTAACACCCCTGAGTCAATACATGTTAGAATCACCTTGGGCAGTGATTACAGCTGTGAGTCTTTCTGGGTAAGTCTCTTAAGAACTTTCCACACCTGGATTGTGCAACATTTGCCCATGATTATTTTCTAAATTCTTCAAGCTCTGTCAAATTGGTTGTTGATCATTGCTAGACAACCATTTTCAGGTCTTGCCATATTTGGTATTTGGTATTTTATTAGGATCCCCATTAGCTGTTGCAAAAGCAGCAGCTAATCTTCCTCGGGTCCACACAAAACATGAAACAATACATAATACAGAACATTAATAGACAAGAACAGCTCAAGGACAGAACTACATAAAAATTTTTTAAAGGCACACGTAGCCTACATATCAATACATACACACAAACTATCTAGGTCAAATAGGGGAGAGGCGTTGTGCCGTGAGGTGTTGCTTTATCTGTTTTTTGAAACCAGGTTTGCTGTTTATTTGAGCAATATGAGATGGAACGGAGTTCCATGCAATAATGGCTCTATATAATACTGTACGCTTTCTTGAATTTGTTCTGGATTTGGGGACTGTGAAAAGACCCCTGGTGGCATGTCTGGTGGGGTAAGTGTGTGTGTCAGAGCTGTGTGTAAGTTGACTATGCAAACAATTTGGGATTTTCAACACGTTTCTTATAAAAAGAAGAAGTGATGCAGTCAGTCTCTCCTCAACTCTTAGCCAAGAGAGACTGGCATGCATAGTATTTATATCAGCCCTCTGACTACAATGAAGAGCAATATGTGCCACTGTTTTGGGCCAGCTGCAGCTTAACTAGGTCTTTCCTTGCAGCACGTCTTGTAAGGAAGATTTTCAAGTAGATTTTCAAGTACATTTAAGTCAAAACTGTAACATTCACTGTCTTCTTGATAAGCAACTCCAGTGAAGATTTGGCCTTGTGTTTTAGGTTATTGTCCTGCTGAAAGGTGAATTCATCTCCCAGTGTCTGGTGGAAAGCAGGCTGAACCAGGTTTTCATGGAGGATTTTGCCTGTCCTTAGCTCCATTTAATTTATTTTTTAGCCTGAAAAACTCCCCAGTCCTTAACGATTACAAGCATACCCATAACATGATAGAGCCACCACTATGCTTGAAAATATGGAGAGTGGTACTCAGTAATGTGTTGTATTGGATTTGCCCCAAACATAACACTTTGTATTCAGGACAGAAAGTTAATTGCTTTGCCACATTTTTAGCAGTATTACTTTAGTGCCTTGTTGCAAACAGGATGCATGTTCTGGAATATTTTTTATTCTGTACAGGCTTCCTTCTTTTCACTCTGTCAATTAGGTTAGTATTGTGGAGTAACTACAATGTTGTTGATCCATCCTCAGTTTTCTCCTATCACAGCCATTAAACTCTGTAACTGTTTTAAAGTAACCACTTGCCTCATGGTGAAATCCCTGAGCGGTTTCCTTCTTCTCTGGCAACTGAGTTAGGAAGGATGCTTGTATCTTCTTTGTAGTGACTGGGTGTATTGATACACAAAATGTAATTAATAACTTCACCATGCTCAAAATGATATTCAATGTCTGTTTCTTTTACCAATAGGTGCCCTTGTTTGCGAGGCATTGGAAAACCTCCCCTGGTCTTTGTGGTTGAATCTGTGTTTGAAATTCACTGCTCGACTGAGGGACCTTACAGATAATTGCATGTGTGGGGTACAGAGATGAGGTAGTCATAAAAAAATTATGTTAAACACTATTATTGCACACTGAGTAAGTCCATGCAACTTAATATGTAACTTGTTAAGCAAATCTTTATTCCTGAACTGATTTAGGCTTGCCATAACAAAGAGGTTGAATACTTATTGACTGAAGACATTTCAGCTTTTCATTTTTTATAAATTTGTAAACGTTTCTATAAACATAATTCCACTTTGACATTATGGGGTATTGTGTGTAGACCAGTGACAAAAAATCTAAATGTAATCCATTTTAAATTCAGGCTGTAACACAACAAAAAGAGGAAAAAGTCAAGGGGTGTGAAGACTTTCTGAAGGCAATGTATCTCAATTAGGCAAACAACTGACTGTAGCCTACAGCGCATTTTCTATATTAGCGGGTTAGTGTCGGGTGCGGGCCTCAGATTTTCACTTTATCACATAAAGTCGCTGATAGTCGGGCGGTTGCGGATGGGTTATTAGCAATTGCGGGCGGGTTTAGCAAGTCAATTAGTGTAATTTAGGGTTTGGGTTAGGGGTATGGTTAAGGCTTAGGTTGAGGTTATGGCTAATGGTTAAAATCAGATTTTAATGTGTTTCTTACACTTCTCTATAAACAGTGTGCGTCTTCTAACTCCTCTCTCCATCCATAGTGCTATGTGCAGACAGAGTGGGCCAGATGACGAAGACCTACAATGACATCGATGCTGTCACACGTCTGCTGGAGGAGAAAGAGAGGGACCTGGAGTTGGCTGCTCGGATCGGCCAATCACTGCTCAAGAAGAACAGAACGCTCACAGAGAAGAATGACTACCTGGAGGTACAAGTGGGACACATCACAGAGGAGGTGAGAGAGACATTGGGTCATAGAGGAGCACACATGTGCATGTACACACACCTGCATTTCTAAGAACTGAGTTACAAGGGCAGTAGTTCCTCACGCATAAACCCAGCTCCCTGTTTTTGCCAATGTTGCAAAGTTAGGTGTCAATGGTCAATTTTTAAAAATACATTTTGAGTATATGAAAGAGTAAACATATTCTTTTTTAGTAGTATAAACATGACTTTTTAAAGAACCGTTGTTATAGATATTTAGTTATTGATATGATTAAACAACACTGAATGCTAGTGCTGCATCACCAGCTCAGTGTTCTGTGTGTTCTCAGGTGGCCCAGCTGCATCATGAGTTGAACCTGAAGGATGAGCTGCTGCAGTTCTACACCAATGCATCAGAGGAGAGTGAAGAGGAGTCTACTACTGGTTCACCCACGTTAGTATTGTCTGTGTGTTTACTATTCCTGACTGTCTTTCTATCTCTGTCTCACTCTCTCTCTCTCTCTCTCTCTCTCTCTCTCTCTCTCTCTCTCTCTCTCTCTCTCTCTCTCTCTCTCTCTCTCTCTCTCTCTCTCTCTCTCTCTCTCTCTCTTTTGCTTTCTCTCTCCCCTCTCTCTCTCTCTCTCTCTCTCTCTAGGGGTAAGCGGAGTAAGCTGCTGGGTGTATCAGGGTTTGGAGCTGACTCTATGCAGAGGAAACTCAGAGAGCTGGAGGAAGAGAACCTATCCCTCCGCTCAGAGGCCTGTAATCTGAAGACTGAGACTGAGATCTACGAGGAGAAGGAACAACAGCTTGTCAACGACTGTGTTAAAGAACTCAGTGAGTGGAGGAGTATTATACTCTTTCTTTCTTCTCTCTCTCTCGCTCGCTTTCTCTCTCTCTCTCTCTCTCTCTCTCTCTCTCTCTCTCTCTCTCTCTCTCTCTCTCTTGCTCTCTCTCTCTCTCCCTCTCTCTCTCTATGTGCTTCCTTTCTCTGTACTCTCCTCTTTTGTCCATTCACTTATTTTGTTCATCCTCTCTCTCTCTCTCTCTATGCTCTCCACCTTTTCTATCAATTAAAATATACTTCACTGGCATTTAATGCCTCTATTGGCATGAATGTAAATGTATGTTGCCAGAGCAACTAATGAATTCCCCCTCTCCCCCCTCCTGTCTCCAGGACAGTCCAGTCTGCAGATCAACACCATAGCGGAGGAGTTGGCTCGGAAGACAGAGGACGCCATGCGACAGCAGGAGGAGATCACACACCTGCTCTCTCAGATAGTTGACCTACAGAAGAAAGCCAAGTCGGTGAGAGACGCACACTCATGCTTTACCCTCAGTACTATAGTGCACGCATTGTGGTATATATGCTCAGTACAATACTCTCTTTGTGTGTGTTTCTTTAGTACGCAGTGGAGAATGAGGAGCTCTCTCAGCACCTAGGGGCAGCTAAAGATGCCCAGAGACAACTCACAGTCGAGGTTAGACTCACACCCTATCCCTTTGCCATCCTACACCTCATGTATACTTTACCAATGAGAAACAGTCATCAAGCCTGCTCTCTTTTCTTTCTTCTTGCTCTAGCTAACAGATTTGGATGGTAAGTATTCAGAGTGTATAGAGATGCTCCATGAGGCTCAGGAAGAGCTGAAGTACTTGAGGAACAGAAACTATCCTGCTGGAACACCACGCAGATTCCATCCTCTGGGTCTCTACCCTATGGTATGTGTGTGGTAGGGGTTATCAGAACATACACTCTCAAAAGAGTGATCTCCTTTTGAGAGTGTAGGTGCATATCATAGAGCTGATGGTGTGTGTGTCTGTGCTGTGTGTGTGTGTGTACGGCAGGACTCCCTGGCAGCAGAGATAGAGGGGACGATGAGGAAGGAGATGAGTCTGGATGACCCTGAGTGCGAGGAACAGAAGTACACACGCTTCTATTAGTTTATAACACTCTTCTAATCTTTATATATACTGTCTAGTAACATAAACTCACCTATACTCATAATATATATTCATAGCTATCATACTTGCCTACACTCATGCCTATTTAATTTTGTGTGTGTGAGCAGGGTGCACCACAAGCGTGTGTTTGAGACAGTGAAGAACATCAACCAGACGGTCCGACAGCGTTCTCCAATCCTGTCCAACGCCAACATCCCGGGATCCAATCAGGCGTCGTCTCTTAGCTCCGCTCACTCCAGTGGCAGGACCACGCCCATGGCTGGTAGCATTGGCTGTGATGTCAGAGGTGACGGTGTTGCCCTTGACAACCGACAACAGAGCATGCTCATGGAGTCAGCAGCAGCCAATCAGGACAGGTGAGTCGTACATACCTGAACCTGGGATTGTTCCAGCCTGTCTCTGACGCAGTATAGATGTACAGTTGACCAGATCTCGCCTGCAGGAACCATATTGAATGAAATTAAAGCAATCTTTTCATATTTACCAGGTGATTTTTTCCCCCTTTTTCTATTTCTGTGCATCAGTCTAATAATGTTAAAATATCTCTGTTTGGGCATTAGTGTGGACGCCCGTGCTAAGAAAGCAGCTGGTGTTGAGGACCTGAAGCTGGCGTTACGTCGCCTGTCCCTGCGCCGCCAGAACAACCTGAGCGAGAGACGCTTCTTCGAGGAGGAGAGAGGGAGGAGGAGAGGTGGAGGAGGAGTTGTGCAGGACGGGGGCGGGGGGCAGGGGGGTGGGATGACCCCCTCAGATAGCATAATGTCTCTGGGGTCGTTACACCTGTGGGCCTCCCGACCATACCTCCCCGACAAACTACAGATCGTTAAACCCCTGGAAGGTGAGGGAGAGAAGGAGAGGGGGATGAGGGGAGAGGAGGAGAGAGGGATGGGGTGGGGGAGAAAGAGGGAGAGGGAAGAGAGGGAGGGGCTGGTCAAGCTGTGGGAGAGAGGTAGTGAGTGGCAGGGAGAGGTGGAAGGAGGGAGCGAGGTAGAGAGAGAAAGAGAGGGAGAGGGAAGGAATGGGGAAAAGACTGGAGGAGAGAGGGAGAGAGGGAGAAGAAGTTGGAGCAGGAAGAGGGTGTTAGATAGAGAGAGGGAGCGAGGGAGGAGATGGGCTAGAGAGGTAGAACAGGGGAGAGAGACAGAGGGAGGGATGGGAAGAGGAGAGCGTCCTGTATCTTTAATGTTGTTTAACTCGTTCTGGTCTCTGATGCATCACCATCGTAAGTCAGGCCTCTCCACCTCACAATCCTACTATAGAGACCCTCAGCCTAGAGGCTGGCTGGGGATAAAATAGAAGTTTAATCATGAGCAGTGTGGGGTTTTGTTGTGCTTCTGCTGCCATCTGCTGGTGAGGGGAGAAACATACAACATGATCACATTTTGATGTAATGTTTTAGTCAACTTTACCACCCCATAAATATGTTAGATATCTGAGTCTTAACTCTTTATTTTCTCATTAGTTCACCATTCCATTTGTTTTGGTGTATTCATTTTTTCCTATGCTACTTTCCTTCTTCTTATAATACTTTCATTTCTGTCATCTCTCATTTGCTAATTTTAATGAAATCCTTTGTTCATTTTTAGCTTCTGTTTAACTCTCCTTTACTCTGCATCTTCAATAAAAATCTGACCTCATTCTCTTCTTTTGCCTTCTTCATTTCACTATTCTTTCACTTCTGTTGCCTGTATTTAGCTGTGTGTTTCCTCTCCTCTATAATAAGGTCTGTTCATTTACTCTGCAGTCTCATCTTTCTCTCCAGCCTCCCTAGCTTTGTGTTGGCCTTTACTGTTATGTCTTTAACCATAGTCTAGAGTTGAGATGTTTTCATGCAGTACTATAAAATACACCGTCTTTCTTCACTTCTCTCAAATGTTTAACCACATATAGCAAATTGTGAGTGTGTGTCTGTGATTGTGTCTGTGTAATATTTTTCTCTCACCCTCTGCATTTCCCTCTTGGTCCTGTCCTCTCCAGGCTCTGCGACCCTGCACCACTGGCAGCAGTTGGCTCAGCCCCACTTAGGAGTGATCCTGGATGCTAGACCTGGGGTTGTACCTAAAGGCTTCAGGCCTCTGGAACTAGAGCTGGAACAGGTAAGTGTGTGTGTGTTTCCCATGGGTGTGTGTGTATATGGAGTAACCTGTGTGTTTGTGTGTGCGTTTGGGTGTTGCAGGTGTATCCATGGGGTGGTTTCGAGGAGGATGAACCAGGAGAGCAGTACTTCCAGAGTCTCCCCACCTCCTCAGCCTCCGCCTCCCCCGCCCTCCCCCCTCAGCCTCACCCTCCTCACCCCTCTACCCCCCTCAGCCACCTCGCCTCCCCCTCAACCCCCTCTCCCTCCCCTCACCTAAGCAACACTGATCCTGCAGGTATGTTTCTATATGCACATACAGATACTATGATAGATGCTAATAGAACACGTTAGATACTAAGAATAATTTACCCTTTATATTCAAAGCGATAGAAAGAGAGAGAGAGAGCGATTCAAAAGACAGAGAGAGTGCGATAGAAATAAAGAAACAGAAAGAGAAAGTGGTTTAGTGGTTACCTGAGTGGTTCAGTGGTTCAGTCATATACACACTGGTTCAGTGGTTCACTGAGGGGTTCAGTGGTTCACGGCTACTTTTCCAGCCAGGAAAGGTAGAGGAGAACAGATAGACTATTGTGTTTGTGTCTTTGTGTTTTCAGCGGTGTACTACCCAGGTAAATGCATGGCCCATACCAGCTCTACCTACACCTTTACTACCTGTCGTATCCTACATCCAACTGACGAGCTGACCCGCGTCACACCTAGGTAGGGAGACACACCATACACCTACAGTGCATTCGGAAAGTATTCAGACCCCTTTACTTTTTCCACATTTTGTTAAGTTACAGCCTTATTCTAAAATTGATTAAATAGTTTTTTTCCCTCACCAATCTACGCACAATACCCCATAATGACAAATTGAAAGCAGGTTTTTAGACATTTTAGCAAATGTATTTTTAAAAAACCCCGGAAATATCACATTTACATAAGTATTCAGTCTGTTTACTCAGTACTTTGTTGATCACCTTTGGCAGCGATTACAGCCTTGAGTCTTCTTGGGTATGACGCTACAAGCTTGGCACACCTGTATTTGGGGAGTTCTCCCATTCTTCTCTGCAGATCCTCTCAAGCTCTGTCAGGTTGGATGGGGAGTGTCGCTGCACAGCTATTTTCACGTCTCTCCAGAGATGTTTGATCGGGTTCAAGTCCGGGCTCTGGCTGGGTCACTAAAGGACATTCAGAGACTTGTCCCGAAACCACTCCTGCGTTGTCTTGGCTGTGTGCTTAGGGTCGTTGTCCTGTTGGAAGGTGAACCTTCGCCCCATTCTGAGGTCCTGAGCACTCTGGAGCAGGTTATCATCAAGGATCTCTCTGTACTTTGCTCCGTTCATCTTTCACTCGATCTTGACTAGTCTCCCAGTCTCTGCCGCTGAAAAACATCCCCACAGCACGATGCCGCCACCACCATGCTTCACCGTAGGGATGGTGCCAGGTTTCCTCCAGACGTGACGCTTGGCATTCAGGCCAAAGAGTTCAGTCTTGGTTTCATCAGACCAGAGAATCTTGTTTCTCATGGTCTGAGAGTCCTTTAGGTGTCTTTTGGCAAACTCCAAGCGGGCTGTCATGTGCCTTTTACTGAGGAGTGCCTTCCGTCTGGCCACTCTACCGTAAAGGCCTGATTGGTAGAGTGCTGCAGAGATGGTTGTCCTTCTGCAAGGTTATCCCATCTCCACAGAGGAACTCTGGAGCTCTGTCAGAGTGACACCTCCCTGACCAAAGCCCTTCTCCCCCGATTGCTCAGTTTGGCCAGGCGGCCAGGCGGCCAGCTCTAGGAAGAGTGTTGGTGGTTCCAAACTTCTTCCATTTAAGAATGATGGAGGCACTGTGTTCTTGGGGACCTTCAATGCTGCAGAATGTTTTTGGTACCCTTCCCCAGATCTGTGCCTCGACACAATCCTGTCTCTGAGCTCTACGGACAGTTCCTTCGACCTCATGGCTTGGTTTTGCTCTGACATGCACTGTCAACTGTGGGACCTTATAGAGACAGTTGTGTGCCTTTCCAAATCATGTCCAACCAATTGAATTTACCACAGGTGGACTCCAATCAAGTTGTAGAAACATCTCAAGGATGATCAATGGAAACAGGATGCACCTGAGCTCAATTCCGAGTCTCATAGCAAACGGTCTGAATACTTAAGTAAATGTGATATTTCTGTGGTTTTTTAAAACGCATTTGCACAAATTTCTAAAAACCTGTTTTCACTTTGTCATTATGGGGTAATTTTAATCCATTTTAGAATAAGGCTGTAACGTAACAAAATGTGGAAAAAGTGAAGAGGTCTGACTACTTTCCAAATGCACTGTATCTCTCCTCCTTCTCTACCTCTACCTTCACCATAACTCTGTTCCCATTCTCCCTCTTCTCTCTGAAGTGTACACTTGCTCACTGTGGCCACATGTTATCTAATAGATCACAATTGTTGCAGTGTGCAGTCTCCATGTTCTCCGTTTTTTCTCTTTTTCAAATGGTGTTGGTCTCCCTTCCCCCTCTCCAGTGTTAACCCCGGCGTGTCCTCGTCATCCTGTGTGATGACATCATCTATCCTGGCCACTCCCGCTGCCACGCCCTGTCACACACCCCGAAGGATGAGTCTACTACGACCCTCTGAGTCTTCTACCAACCTCAGGTACACACACACACACACACACACACACACACACACACACACACACACACACACACACACACACACACACACACACACACACATACACACACACACACTCAACTTGATAGATTAACTCTAGCTACTACGTCTCATTCCCAGGACTTTGTGTGTCTGTGTGTGTGTGTGTGTGTGCGCCTTCCCGTGTGTATATGATTTCCTCTTCTTCAGGGAAGCCACACGTACCACCAGTACCTCTCTGGGATTAGTGCGCCTTCTGCAGGAGAGAGGCATCTCTGCAGCCATGTACCACCACCAGACCCAGGGCTGGGACAGAGCTGGCGGGCCCGGGGTGGGGAGAGGAGGGGTGCTGTTCAGTACCTCTATTACCCCTAACCTCAACCTAGCTCCCCACCCCGACACCCTCCGCCCCTCCACTCCCCCCAACTCCCCCACAGGACACGACCCCCCATCTTCGGGCACCAACACCCCTGCGGGGTTCGACTTCAAGTCTCCCTCCTATGAAAACTTCCTTGCCTCCAAGCCGGCGCGGTCCATTCTGAAGGAGGTGGCGGGGGGGATGGGGAGCAGCCGGAGCAGGAGGCAGCAGAGGGGGAGAGACTGTGAGAGCCAGACAGATGTTAGCGTCACGGTTCATAACCTCAACCTGGTGGACAAGGTGAGGCGCCTGGGTGTGGCTGGGTGTCCTCCAGGACCAGGGGGTGTACCCGGGGGACCAAGCCCCCTCCTGGGGCCTCTGGGTGGGCTACGGAGGCCCGGGTCGCCCTTTGGACCAGAGGGGATGAGGAGGAACAGGAGCTATCCAGCTATGGTAGGGGCCAGTATGGCGATGAAGGGCCCGGGGCCCCAGGAGGACTCAGAACTACTGCTGCCTCCTAACAGAATGCCTAAACAGAAGAGCCTCAAGTAGTATCTGGGACCTCTGGCCTCTCACCCCTGAGCCCTAATACTAACCTTAACCCTAACCAACTAGTTTCCCCAGGAGACTCAACTTCTTACTTACATCTACTGTCCTGTTAGACCTCTGGTACTATAGCTAGTTTTTCAAAATCCTACAAACTACTGGGACTCCTCGTCTAGCTACTGACAAATGACAACCAGTCACCTTTCTCAGATACTGACAACTAGTTAGTCTTCTGCTTTTATCCAATGCTTATCCTTCCAGCTCCAAAACCAAATGGCCACCCTGCTGTCTGCTACCGTTTAATCAGCTACCAAACTAGGACTAACACAAATAAACAATGGTCTTCCATATTGGCTAAAACTTCTCCTCTCTAGCCCTGGAACACAGCTACTTCTCCCTGCTGTAGTCAATTAAATTACGTTGAACCAATGTGGAATAGACGTTAAATTGACGTCTGTGCCCAGTGGGGGGTAACCTCCTCACATGTACACTAAGCGTATGTAGTTCAAATCAAATCAAATTGTATTTGTGTGGACTAACAGTGAAATGCGTCCGGGCCCTTCCCAACAATGCAGAGAGAAAAAAAGAGAAGAAAAAAATAATAATAATAAGATGAGGAATAAATACACAATGAGTAATGATAACTTGGCTACAGTGGCTTGCGAAAGTATTCACCCCCCTTGGCATTTTTCCTATTTTGTTGCCTTACAACCTGGAATTTAAATGGATTTTTGGGGGGTTTGTATCATTTGATTTACACAACATGCCTACCACTTTGAAGATGCAACATCTTTTTTTTTTATTGTGAAACAAACAAGAAAACTTGAGCGTGCATAACTATTCACCCCCCCCCCCCCCCCCCCCCACCCCAAAGTCAATACTTTGTAGAGCCAACTTTTGCAGCAATTACAGCTGCAAGTCTCTTGGGGTATGTCTCTATAAGCTTGGCACATCTAGCCACTGATATTTTTGCTCATTCTTCAAGGCAAAACTGCTCCAGCTCCTTCAAGTTGGATGGGTTCCGCTGGTGTACAGCAATCTTGAAGTCATACCACAGATTCTCAATTGGATTGAAGTTTGGGCTTTGACTAGGCCATTCCAAGACTAGGCCATTCCCCTTAAACCACTTGAGTGTTGCTTTAGCAGTATGCTTAGGGTCATTGTCCTGCTGGAAGACCACCTCCGTCCCAGTCTCAAATCTCTGGAAGACTGAAACAGGTTTCCCTCAAGAATGTCCCTGTATTTAGTGCCATCCATCATTCCTTCAATTCTGACCAGTTTCCCAGTCCCTGCCGATGAAAAACATCCCCACAGCATGATGCTGCCACCACCATGCTTAACTGTGGGGATGGTGTTCTCGGGGTGATCAGAGTACCTTCTCCCACATGCCTTTTGGCGAACACCAAACGTGTTTTTTTTGTGTTTTTTTTAAGCAATGGCTTTTTTCTGGCCACTCTTCCGTAAAGCCCAGCTCTGTGGAGTGTACGGCTTAAAGTGGTCCTATGGACAGATACTCCAATCTCCGCTGTGGAGCTTTGCAGCTCCTTCAGTGTTATCTTTGGTCTCTTTGTTGCCTCTCTGAGCAATGCCCTCCTTACCTGGTCCGTGAGTTTTGGTGGGTGGCCCTCTCTTGGCAGGTTTGTTGTGGTGCCATATTCTCCGTGAGATGTTCATAGTTTCGGATATTTTTTTATAACCCAACCCTGATCTGTACTTCTCCACAACTTTGTCCCTGACCTGTTTGGAGAGCTCCTTGGTCTTCATGGTGCAGCTTGCTTGGTGGTGCCCCTTGCTTAGTGGTGTTGCAGACTCTGGGGCCTTTCAGAACAGCTGTATATATACTGAGATCATGTGACAGATCATGTGACACACAGGTGACTTTATTTAACTAATTATGTGACTTCTGAAGGTAATTGGTTGCACCAGATCTTATTTAGGGGCTTCATAGCAAAGGGGGTGAATACAAATGCACGCACCACTTTTCCGTTATTTATTTTTTAGAATTTCTTGAAACAAGTTATTTTTTTAATTTCACTTCACCAATTTGGACTATTTTGTGTATGTCCATTACATGAAATCCAAATAAAAATCCATTTAAATTACAGGATGTAATGCAACAAAATAGGAAAAACGCAAAGGGGGATGAATACTTTTGCAAGGCACTGTATATACACAGAGTTCCAGTACCGAGTCTATGTGCAGGGGTATGAGGTAATTGAGGTAGATATGTACATATAGGTAGGGATAAAGTGACTAGGAAACAGGATTGATAATAAACAGTAGCATCAGCATATGTGATGAGTCAAAAGAGTTAGTGCAAAAAGGGTCAATGCAGATAGTCCAGGTAGCTATTGGTTAACTATTTAACGATTTACCAGCTTGGGGGTAGAAGCTGTTCAGGGTCCTGTTGGTTCCAGACTTGGTGCATCGGTACCGCTTGCCATGCAGAAGCAGAGAGAACAGTCTATGACTTGGCTATCTGGAGTCTTTGACAATTTGCTGAATAAGTTAGATCAAACTTACATGTCATGTGATTGTCATGTCAGCTGGATTTGGAGCCTCTTCATCACCATGTATTTAGATTACTAGTATAATGTAGCACCGCTAACTATAGTGTAAACCTTTCTTCCTAAGTAATAATGGATTGTGAGATAATGTTGAATATGTACCATTGTTAATGGTAAAGATTCTCCACCAGATTCATGAAATAGATCATCAACTTTTTTGCTAAACTCTTTCTCATTCTTTCGTTATTTTCTTCCTTGCTTTCCTCTCTCTCCCCTCCACCCTGTTCTCAATGGGAAGAATATGTCATAAGTCACTTTTAAGAGTCTTGTTAATGTTTTGTTTGTCTGTGTTAAAGTTAAATTAGTGTTATTTTTCTAAATGACTATAGACAAAGGGAAATGGATAGTGGTTTCAGAGTGGTCAGTGACTGAGGGAATTATGAAAATATCAATATACCCACTGCTGGAATGGAGAGAGGGAAGGAGGAATGGAGGGAAGGTATAGAGGTTAAACAGTCTTTGTGGTCGGAAGCTTTTCCTGCTTCTTTCTTCACCAACTCTAGAGAATTTCAATTGATGAAATTAATAAAGAAGCATTAGTGCCTCAATATGGTTTCTACATCACTATGCTCATACTGGTTGTTTATGTTCTTATTCTAACTAAACAGTTGTCCACTGAGTCACACTCGTTAGCTCTTACATTGATATGTGTACTTATGTAATTTATTTACTAAACAGTCTTTTGATTGAATACGCAAAACTATTATTCACAAGCTTTTTTACATGTTAAGATTGAACACATAAAACACATTTGCGGTATATACAGTATATAACACTATATTCATTAATTGTCATTAGTACTGGAACACTCATTTACAACAAAGTTAAAATAGATTATCATCACATAAATGTACATTTTGGATAATACTCACCTTTTGATGATGAAAAGTGAGCATGAAATTAGGTTCTCTTGAGGGTATTCTTTTCCAATAAAAATTCAGACGTGAATCACGGTGAAATAGAGTGGTGGTGTTCTATACTGAACAAAAATATAAACGCAACATGTAAAGTGTTGGTCCCATGTTTCATGAGCTGAAATAAAAGATACCAGAAATTGTGCACACGCATTTTTTCTTTTTTTCTCAAATTTTGTGCACAAATTTGTTTACCTCCCTGTTATTGAGCATTTGTCCTTTGCCAAGATAAAGTTTTGAGGGAGCGTGCAATTGGCATGCTGACTGCAGGAATGTCCACCAGAGCTGTTGCCAGATAATGTAATGTTCATTTCTCTACCATAAGCCGCCTCCAACATCGTTTTAGAGAATCTTGCAGTATGTCCAATCGGCCTCACAACCGCAGACCACGTGTAACCACGCCAGCCCAGGACCTCCACATTCGGCTTCTTCACCTGCGGGATCGTCTGAGACCAGCCACTTGGACAGCTGATGAAACTGTGGTTTTGCACAACCAAATAATTTCTGCACAAACTGTCAGAAACCGTCTCAGGGAAGCTCATCTGTGTGCTTGTCATCCTCACCAGGGTCTTGACCTGACTGCAGTTCGGCGTCGTAACCGTAACCGGCTGGAGAAGTGTGCTCTTCACGGATGAATCCTGTTTCAACTGTAAAGAGCAGATGGCCTACAGAGTGAAGGGCGTCGTGTGGGCAAGCGGTTTGCTGATGTCAACGTTGTGAACAGAGTGCCCCATGGTGGAGGTGGGGTTATGGTATGGGCAGGCATAAGCTACAATTGCATTTTATCGATGGGAATTTCAATGCACAGAGATACCGTGACGAGATCCTGAAACTCAGTAAAATCTTTGAAATTGTTGCATGTTGTGTTTATATTTTAATTCAGTGTATGTTTACACAGTTGTGTTTCTGCAGTTATATAGTTATACGTTTGTGGCCAACCCTTCTCCTGATAATGATGAATTGCTTGGAGTGCAGGCTTTTGCTCCAGCCAGACTGTAACACACCTGATTTAGCTAATCAAGGTCCTAATGAACAGCTGATTTGTAGAGTTATTTTGGTAGAGCATGGCGCGAGCAAAAGTCTGCACACCACTACCAGCAGATGGCACTGTTTGACAGCTTATTTCCTTGAATAACTTGTTTTCAGAACATTCACACACCCACACACTCAGATAAAATGTTTCCCTCTCCATAAGTGTTGCGACTGCTGCTGAGAAGAAGATGGAGGATGATTGGTGGATAAATGAAAAATGAACAGGAACATTTCAACCTTCATACCTGTGTGTGTGTGTTTGTGTTGTTTGTGTGTGTGTATGTGTGTGTTTGTGTGTGTTCTCCCTTCAATAACCACAAATATCACTACGGCTGCCTCTAATCCAACACAATTAGATATCAACAGAGGATTATTGCGTTTCAAATGCCATTGGTGTCGATCACTAAGATAATGTGTGTAAAGTTTCATAATTATATTTTAATCACATTCTGTAAGTCATTGAGATCAAACTACCTGAGAAACGGTGAAACTT